TGTGGGGGAGGTGTGGGCGAGGTGTGGCGAGAGATGTGGCGAGATGTGGCGAGATGTGGTCGAGATGTGGTCGAGATGTGGCGACGGCGTGACCTCGCCAAAGCGCTGCAGGTAGTCGACGCACATGGTCGCCGTGACGCCCGCCGTGCCGACGACCTGTTCACAGCTAGGGGTGTGAAGAGACGCCGTCCACACCCGCAACCCGATCAAGCGGCGCATGCACCTGTTCACAGCTGGGCGTGTGAAGAGACGCCGTCCACACCCGCAACCCGATCAAGCGGCGCACGCAGGAACCTGTTCACGGCTGGGCGTGTGAAGAGACGCCGTTCACACCCGCAGCCGAGGGCTCGCCCGCCGCGCCGGCGCGCCATGGTCTGCGCGAGGCTGAGGGCGGGCGGCGGCGCGACCAGCCTGGCCGCGTGAGCACCGCAAGGTGTGAACACGAGGGTGTGAACACGAGGGTGTGAATACGGCACCGTCAGGGTGTGAATACGGCACCGTCAGGGTGTGAATACGGCACCGTCAGGGTGAGAGGGGAAGGGGATTGAGTAGAGCTGTAGTGGCGGCACGGCCTCGGCACGTGCACATGTGGCTTCTAGCGAGTGGGGAGATGTGGGGAGATGTGGGGAGATGTGGGGAGATGTGGGGAGGTGTGGGGAGATGTGGGGAGATGTGGGGAGGTGTGGGGGAGGTGTGGGGAGGTGTGGGGAGATGTGGGGAGATGTGGGGAGGTGTGGGGAGGTGTGGGGGAGGTGTGGGGAGGTGTGGGGGAGGTGTGGGGGAGGTGTGGGGAGATGTGGGGAGATGTGGGGGATGTGGGGAGGTGTGGGGAGATGTGGGGAGAGGTGGGGAGGTGCAGGGAGGTGCGGGGAGGTGTGGGGAGGTGTGGGGAGGTGGAAGGAGGTGTGGGGAGGTGCAGGGAGGTGCGGGGAGGTGTGGGGAGGTGTGGGGAGGTGGAAGGAGGTGCGGGGAGGTGCGGGGAGGTGTGGGGAGATGTGGGGAGGTGTGGGGAGATACTTCTAGCGCGACGAGCCACTCGGCGCGGCACGTGGCGCGCTCGGCGTAGCCGCCGTCAAAGTACTGCCCCGCCTGATCAGCCGAGATGTGCCGAGATCACCCGAGATTGCCCGAGATTCCGGCGAAAGACGAAAAGGCAGCACGGCATCCAAATGTGAATCTCGGAGAATCTCGTCGGATCTCGTCGAATCTCGTCGAGTCTCGCTGCCGTCAAAGTGGAAAGGCAGCACGGAATCCGAAGGGAATCTCGTCGAATCTCGTCGAATCTCGTCGAATCTCGTCGAATCTCATCGAATCTCGTCGAATCTCGTCGAATCTCGCGCCTTGTTGCCCGTGAGGACGACAGCGTCGCCCTCGCGCCACAGCGGGGAGGAGGAGCGCGCGACGACGCCGGCGTAGTCGATGCCTAGTAGCAAACCATACTGACCACTGCTACACTCACGATGTTGCCACCCGCCCGCCCGGGAGAGCGGCGGCGTGTGGAGAGCCGGGTGTGATGGGGAAGTCTCTCACGACCCCCTTCTGGCCGAGGACGATCATCGCGTCCTTGTAGTTGAGGGTCGAGTGCGAGATCTCCACCTCCACGTCCGCCTGACGGCGAGGCGTGGTGAGCTGAGGCGAGGCAGAGGCGACTCAGTTGGAAGAGGCGACTGAGTCGAGTGCTGGAGAGGTCTCAGCGCTGAAAGTGCGAGGCCCGATGTACGTGGTTGGAGGCGTACGGGCGACGCGGACTGCGCGTGGATGGATGGGCTCGCGCGGCACCACCGGTAGATGGACGAGTGTTCTATGTCGCGTGCCTTCGGGTCCTGCCTTGGCAGCGCAGAGACCGCCGCGACATCAACCAGGCTGGATGCGGCCTCGCCCTCGGGCACGTCCTTCCGAGAGCGCGCAACGAGGGCGCGCAGGTTGCGTCGAGCGGCAGCGGCGGCGGGAGGGGGCGCGGGAGTCGAGAGCCGTGGAGCGGCGAGCAATGAGCGCCACATCGAAATAAATTGTTAAGAAAAATTGTTGAAATGGGGGGCACGGGACGCGGCACAAGCGGGGCACAAACGCCAGGCAAAAAAGACGGGGAGGCAACTTCTTTCTGGCCTAAAAACGAGGAATGGGACGAGGACTCTTTCTGGCCTGATGTATAACAACTGGACATGAGCTTTCTTTTTAAAACAAGAAACAAAAAAAGACATAAAAAGAAAAAATTCGCTTGAACATCAGCGGTGTCATCCTCCCGACCCGCCTCGCGACCTGGCTCGGGGCGACCTGTCCTGGCTGCGCGCCTTCCTCTCCGGGGAGGGGACGCGCGGCACGTCGCTCGCGGCCCAGCTCGACGCGCGGCACGACACCGAGAGGCAGGACACGCTGCTCACCTGGGCCGCTCGGCACGGGCAGGCCGAGGCGGTGCGGCTGCTGATCGAGGGCGGCGCGAGCGTCGGGGCGACGACTGCGGCGGCGCTTCAGCGCTGCTCGTCGCGAGCGACAAGGGCCACCTCGAGTGCGCCCGGCTGCTCCTCGAGGTTGGCGCGGCGACCGACCAAGCAAACGCCAGAGGCTTCACGCCGCTGAGCGCTGCGAGCTTGGCTGGCGAGATCGGCTGCGTTCGGCTGCTCCTCGAGGCTGGCGCCGCGGTCAACCACGCAGACGCTGAAGGCTTCACGCCGCTGTACATCGCGTGCCAGAACGGCCACCTCGAGTGCGTCCAGCTGCTCCTCGAGGCTGGCGCGGCGGCCAACCAAGCCTGCAACGACGGCACCACGCCGCTGTTCATCGCGTGCCAGAACGGCCACCTCGAGTGCGCCCAGCTGCTCCGCGAGGCCGACGCTGACATCAACCAAGCCCGCAACGACGGCACCACGCCGCTGTTCGCGGCATGCTTCAGCGGCCACCTCGAGTGCGTTCGGCTGCTCCTCGAGGCTGGCGCGGCGGTAAGCCAAGCCAGAAGCGACGGCACCACGCCGCTGTTCGCGGCGTGCCACCAGGGCCACCTCGAGGTCGCCAAGCTCCTCTCCTCCTACGGCGCCTCCCGCGCCGCTACGCCCTTCGGCACGCCCGAGGAGGCCGCAAACAGCCGCGGCCACACCGACCTCGCCGCCTGGCTGGTCGCCAGCCGCGGCTGGACGCCGCTCGCGCACCTTGAGACCCTCACCGCCGCCCGCGCCACCTCCCTCCTGCGCGGCGGCGCAAGCTTGCACGCGGGCGAGCCGACGCCGCTGCGGCGCGCCGCGGGCGGCGAGGGCGAGGCGGCGGCGCTGGTCCGGCGGGCGGCGGCGCCGTGGTCGCCGGCAAGCCACTCGCTCTTCCCCGCGGCGGCCCGCGCGCGGGCGGCGCTCCTCGTCCTCTCGATCTACGAGCGGTACCACCTCGCCTCGGCCGGAGCCACGAACGGCATCGCGGCGCTCGACTTTGGCCACTGCGTCTTGGGCTTCGCCATCACGCGCGAGTCGCAGTAGGGGGAGTTGCAGTTGGTTCGCGCCCTCACGCTCACGGCGCTGTCTTTGAGTTGGCGCGTTTTGTGCTGCTGCACGCGGTGGCGAGCGAGGGAGAGGGGTAGAGTGCGTGAGAACCCAAGACGGGACGTACTGCGCGGCTCCCTCCAGCTCGGAAGAGGTGGCCCTCAAAGCGTAGGCCGGCGGGGACGTCCCCGTCTTTCCGTGTGCCGGTGTGCCGTCTGCCGAGTTCCAGTCCCTAGACAAAGAACTTTACTGAGAGGGACGTCCGCCGCAATTCGGACAGTCTAGTCCCAACACGCGCCACATGACGCCCACCGCCGCCGCGTCGGTCGGCGCGCGCCGACGCCGACCATCACCACCGACCGACGGCTCGCACGGCCGTGCGGTGAGCAAAAATTTGGGTCGCTGCGCGCCTGCCGGATGCTCTGCGACGTCTGGACGCTCGCCAGAAACGCCAGGAAGCTTGCCTTCCACCCCTGGGCCCGAGGGCGAACGGCAGTGGTCGGCAGCCTCTGCGACGCTCCGATCGGCTCCTCGACCTCATCGCCTGCGACGAGCCAGCATGGCTCGTCGCTCGACGGCAGCCTGCCCAGTATGCTCTCGGCATTCTGTACAGCCTCGCCAGGCTCTCTGTGACGGCCTGCAGGGCCGGCGCGGACCGCCTCGGGCGCGATGGCCCTCCTCAGTACCTACCTCTTCGATGCCTGTCGGCTCTCCAATCTCGTCGCCGGCGGCAGGCCCGCATGGCGCGCTGCTCGATGGCAGCCTGCTCAGTACGCCTTGGACAGTGACTTCTGCCTCGCTGCTCTTACTGCAGCCGCCTCCGGGGCCGGCGCCAGCCGCCTCGCTTCGCCAGTGCTGTCTACGCCGGCGACACGCGTGTCGGTTCGCCGCCCGCGTCGCCCGCGGCGGGCCGCGGCCCCGCATGGCGCGCCGCTCGTCGGGAGCATTCCCAGCAGGCTGTAGAGGGCAGTCTGCCTCACTCAGGGCGCCGCCGCTGCTGCGCGGGGCCGCCATCGGCGCTGCTGCCGTGAACGCTGCCGCCGTGTACGTCACCACATCGCCTCTCTTCGTCGCCGAACTCGCCGACGCCGCTCGCCGCTCGCCGCCGCCCTGCCTTGCCCCGCCCAGCCCTCGCACAAACAAACCAACACACACATACAGACACACACACACACACAACTCCTTGCCCCCGTGCCCTCCCGCCTCACGCCCTGCGCCTCACGCCGCGCAACCCACGCACGCCCCGCGCCCCGCGCCCCCACGCCCCTCACCTCGCGCCTCACGCCTCCCTCCCCACCCTCTCAGGCATTTCTCATCCCCGCTACTCGCCGACTCCTCCTCCCCCGCATGACCGACGACTACCCGTCCTTCAGCGACTCCTCCCTCCTCGGCGCCAACGTCTACTACCGGGGGACCGTCGCCCTCCGGGCGTACTGGAATGATCCCAGCGGCACACGTCTACAAGGGGGGACTCCGAACGGCCGCACATGCTTGGCATGTCGGCTTACTAGGCAGGTCACAGACCTTCCCCCCGCATGTCCGGCACACGTGTACGAGGGGGGGCTCCGAAAGGTCGGCATGCCTGGCATGTCGGGCGACTAGGCAGGTCATTGACCTCCCCCCCCGCATGTCCGCATCGGGGGAGGGCGGCTCGTAACTGCGGTTCGCGCCGTCAGAGACAGCCGTCCTCCCCTCAACCCGACGAGAGTGGGCGGGCAGTCCTCGTGGCTGCAGTCGCGCTTCCGAGCCGACTCCGCCCCTCTCTCCACCCGGCCATTCCAACGGCCAGGCCGCTCGCTTAAGGCTGATTGGCTAGACGAGCGGCCTACCTCCGACGGGGCTGTTGCAATAACAGAGGAGGCCTAAGCCGAACCCGCCGGGCCGCTGGCGGGGTGACGGTAGACCACCACTGCGACAGCCCCCTCCCGACGGGGACACACACCACCACCCTCGCCCAGGGATCTACAATGCTGTCTTAAGGTCCGACCTGTGGGCCCTGCCTGCGCTCGGCACCGGGCACCGCCTCGGTATACAAAATGCGCCTGCGGGCGGACCCTCAAAGATCACAGATCACAGGTTCGTTCGGCCCGGCGAATTCTTGTGGAGGGATGGCGGATGGGAGGACGGCACGACCCCGAGCGGCATGATGAGCGGCGCCATCCTCCCAACCCAGCTCGCCGACCTGGCTCGGGGCGACCTGGCCTCGCTGCGCGCCTTCCTCTCCGGGCGGCGGACGCACGGCACGTCGCTCGCGGCCCAGCTCGACGCGCGGCACGACACCGAGAAGCGGGACACGCTGCTCACCTGGGCCGCTCGTCACGGGCAGGCCGAGGCGGTGCGGCTGCTGATCGAGGGCGGCGCGAGCGTCGGGGCGACGACTGGCCGCGGCGCTTCCGCGCTGTATATCGCGTGCCAGGAGGGCCAGATTGAGTGCGCCCGGCTGCTCGTCGAAGCTGGCGCGGCGACCGACCAAGCAGACGCTGAAGCCCGCACGCCGCTGTTCATCGCGAGCGAGAAGGGCCACGTCGAGATCTCCCGGCTGCTCGTCGAGGCCAACGCGGCGGTCGACCAGGCTGATGATGAAGGCACCACGCCGCTGAGTGCTGCGAGCTTGACTGGCGAGATCGAGTGCGCCCGGCTGCTTCTCGAGGCTGGCGCGGCGACCGACCAAGCCGATGAGGAAGGCTGCACGCCGCTGTTCATGGCGAGCCAGCAGGGCCAGCTCGAGTGCGCCCGGCTGCTCCTCGAGGCTGGCGCGGCGGTCGACCAGGCCAACCAGAACGGCGTCACGGCGCTGTTCATTGCGTGCGAGGAGGGCCGCCTCGAGTGCGCCCAGCTGCTGCGCGACGCCGGCGCAGCGGTCAACCAAGCGATGAACGACGGCACCACGCCGCTGTTCATGGCGAGCCAGCAGGGCCAGCTCGAGTGCGTTCGGCTGCTCCTCGAGGCCGGCGCTGACATCAACCAGGCCGAGGAGAGCGGCGTCACGCCGCTGTTCATGGCGTGCCAGGAGGGCCACCCCGAGTGCGTCCGGCTGCTCCTCGAGGCTGGCGCGGCGGTCAACCAAGCCAAGCAGAACGGCGCCACGCCGTTGTTCATCGCGTGCGAGAACGGCCAGCTCGAGTGCGTTCGGCTGCTCCTCGAGGCTGGCGCGGCGATCGACCAGGCCGATGAGCAAGGCGCCACGCCGCTGTTCGCGGCGTGCCACAACGGCCACCTCGGGGTCGCCAAGCTCCTCTCCTCCTACGGCGCCTCCCGCGCCGCTACGCCCTTCGGCACGCCCGAGGAGGCCGCAAACAGCCGCGGCCACACCGACCTCGCCGCCTGGCTGGTCGCCAGCCGCGGCTGGACGCCGCTCGCGCACCTTGAGACCCTCACCGCCGCCCGCGCCACCTCCCTCCTGCGCGGCGGCGCAAGCTTGCACGCGGGCGAGCCGACGCCGCTGCGGCGCGCCGCGGGCGGCGAGGGCGAGGCGGCGGCGCTGGTCCGGCGGGCGGCGGCGCCGTGGTCGCCGGCAAGCCACTCGCTCTTCCCCG